CGACCCCTTTGGGGGTCGAACGACCCTTTCACAGGGGTTGCCTAAGACCATCGGAAAACACATATATAATTACATATTGTTTTGTGATTAATCACTACGCTTTAATTATGTTCAATCTGTAACAATGAAAATACATCCTGCATTTCAGATATTTACATTACGATTCATAACAGTAGCAAAATTACAGTTATGAAGGAGCAACAAAAATAATATTATGGTTGGGGGGGCACCACAACATGAGGAAGTGTATTAAAGGGTGGCGGCATTAGGGAGGTTGAGAACCACTGGTAAAGGATCCCAAATGGACAGGTGGAAGGTTCAAATTCTTAAGTCAATTGTCCCTTGATGGAAGCATGCTGTTCTGAGTTTGTTCCTTTGCACCTCCCCTGCCACCGAGTACTCATCAGTTAGGATCCAATCAGAAAAACAGAAACACACTAGGTAGTTCAAAAAGAGGTTTACTACAGAGAATTCATTTCTGAGCTTTTAGGATGACTATAAGAACTAGGAAGTGTATTAAAGGGTTTGGCTCAGTGGATAGAGCGTCCGCCTGCAGACTGAAAGGTCCCAGGTTCGATTCCGGTCAAGGGCATGTACCTGGGTTGCAGGCCCATCCCCAGTAGGAGATGTGCAGGAGGCAGGTGATCGATGTTTCTCTCTCATCGATGTTTCTAACTCTCTATCTCTCTCCCTTCCTCTCTGTAAAAAATCAATAAAATATATATATTTTTTAAAAGAACTAATGTGGAACACCAAATTAATCCAGAAACAACTATAAAAGACAGGTACCACTTACAGGGAAGAGGTGGGATGACCAAAACCTAGAAACTTGGAGGAAATGTCCCCAGTGGGTTGCTGCTCTGCCTTTGATTTTCCTATGACTGTCAAGGAAGGCTTCATGGAAAAAAGTGATGGTTGAGATGGGTGTTTTGAAAGATGAATCAAGGTTAGCAGGCATAATCTATTCAACCCATATTACTAATGTTTCCACATTATTATAGGCCTGGTCATTTAGAGATAGTTATGGGGCCTACCACTTTTTAAACAACACATCAAAAGCATTTAGTAAGTATGTCAAAATGTGGGTGCTGTAATGTGGCCAAAATAAAACTAGAAAGATTAAAAGCAATCCTTTCCTACTTCAAATACTATCTGATAAGTTTCTCTAACCAGACAGCACACATTTATCAGGTGAACAGCACATAAATACAGGTGTCATCATCCTGAGGAAGGTAATCAAAGAACCCTTGTGCCCTAACTGGTTTGGCTCAGTGGATAGAGCGTCGGCCTGCAGACTGAAGGGTCCCAGGTTCCATTCTGGTCAAGGGCATGTACCTTGGTTGCGGGCACATCCCAGTGGGAGGTATGCAGGAGGCAGCTGATCGATGTTTCTAGCTCTCTATCCCTCTCTGTAAAAAATCAATAAAAAAAAAAGAACCCTTGTAACACGGATCCACTTTGCTACTTAGTGGTATTGCTGGAGCAGGGCAATATCATACTCATTTACTGACAAGTATGAGTCACATC